AGGGCGCGGCGGTGGCGACTCCGGCGGCAGCCTCGGCGGTCTGGGCGGGGCGGGAAGCCCGCTTTCAACCCCGCGTACCCTCTGACCCCGGAAGTGCTTGCTGCGCAGGACCCCTTGAAAAAAATGAGGACCCGTTTTTTTAGGTCACAAGATTGCGCCAACCTCCACGCGGTACTTAAAAAAAAAATCCTTTCAATACCGGAATAGTGAAAATAATGCATTTGATGGGCGGAAGGTGTGAGTCCGGCAGGGTTTTAAAGTGAACACGTGTTTTGTTAACTCCAACAGCACTGGCAGGTGGCTGAAAATATTAATGTTGTTTTTGGGAGACACATATAATTTTCCTGATATACCAAAGGGATTTATGCGCAGAGTGACAAGGGCAGCCCCGGCGATCAGTGCAGGCGGCAGCTGGGACGCCGCGGGTTTAAAACGTGCGCGTGAGGTAACCAGACCGCATGCGCGAGGGTGTGGGGAGGACGGGAGGGGCAGCCGCCGTCTTCCGGGGGGGAGGGGCGGCGAGGTGCGGCCTGTGGGGCGGTGCGCGCGCGAGCGGGCACGTGGGGCCCTTTCGTCCCCGGCGTCCGGGCGCCCTGCGCCAGCCCCCACTCCTGCCCCGGCCCCACGGAGGTGGCCGGTGAGCAGAAAGATCGAAACCCGAGCCCCTACCGCGGGCCAGCGCAGTCGCGCCTTTGTGTTTGTTAAGTGCTCCTAACAGCCATGAAAAGAATGGCGTCCATTTACATAATGCTTTGTTTGCATCTTGCTGGTTTCTTTCTGTTGAAACCCGCAGAAACCCAACCTAGCTATTCGGTCCTTTCTACCGTGGCAGTCTCTTGTCTGCTATTTGAAACAATAGTGTGCGTCTCTGGAGACCTTATTTAAATTCGAGCGGTGCCGACCAGAGTTGGAGGTTTCTGCGGCATTTCCCGCGCGGCCTCTCCGGTTTTCGCTTTTCGGCCCTTTTCCCTCACAGCGCAGCCGCAGCGCCTCACTCTCCAGCGGCCCCTGGTGACACCCGCCATCTTGGGAGGCCTTTTCTGCCTAGTTCATCTCGCTAGAAAATGTCGCTGAAATGCTGGCGCATGAGTTGTGATTTCTGCCCCTTCCCTTTCCTCCTTGAGCTAAGCTAGACTCGAGAATGTCAAGTGAGCAAAGCATACTGAGTCCCTCAGTGAAAGTGGGCTAACGTGGCGCTCCCCATCGTCGCCCCCCCCCCC